ACGGACGGACAGACAGACATGGCTTAATCGATTTCTTTTTTCATCCTGATCATTTATGTATACATTTGTCTATATCTATCTCGATTCGTTTTGGCTGTTACAAACAACCGTTATGTGAACAAAATTAATATACCCTTGTGCACAAGTGCGCTCGGGTATAAAAATCGCTCTTTACCAGTTATTTCTTAATGTTTATTTAATTAGTCCTCAAATAACAGTTATTTCTGATTTTTATCTTATAAATCAAAAATAACAATTACTTTTATTTTTATCTAAATAACAGTTATTTTCGATGTTTAAATCATACGTGTGAGATAACAGTTATCGAAGAATTTTATTTGTAAAAGTCATAAGAAAAAAATCAGTCAGTGATTACTTTTAAAGGTCGTCAATATAAATCAGTTATGACTTTTATTTTTTAAATCATACTTCTAAAAGTCGTTTGTATAAGCCGTAGTAAACTTTTGTTCTCTAACACCTTCTTAACTGCGAAAAATGATACATGACTTTTATACGTATGACTTAAAAAATAAAAGTCGGTGATTGATTTATATACGATGACTTTTAAAAGTAAATATCAGTGATTGACTTTTATTGATGAGTAAAAGTCTTCGATAACTGTTATCTAAGAAACGTAATATACAAATCAAAAATAACTGCTATTTGTAGATTATTTAAATAAAAATCAATAATAATTGTTATTTTGGGTTTATAAAATAAAAATCAAAAATAATTGTTATTTTGGATTTATTTTAATTGTTATTTTTTAAATTTTGTATAAAAATTGCTAATAAAAATTTATTTTCAAATTTGATTCTCGGTGAAAAAATAGATCGATTGGTATGTATCACTTAGTTGTAGAACATTTCCTTCATAGTGAATTTTTCAATGGCAGTTTTCCTCAATAAGTGTTATATTCGGTACCAGGTTTACTGGAAAGATTTAGTTTTGTTTTAAATATTTTATTAGCTTTTGTTAATATAGGACTACTTCACCCGAGCTTCACGAGCTGGTGGGAACGGGTAGGCGTGAAATGATATCACCCAACAGAGGGTGGATGGAAGCGCTGCTGACCACCTATGGTTCACTCAACATACAACTGAGACACCGGACAGCTGAGAGAATGCTAACCGAAAACTAGAACTTTCGGAGTTGCTAAAGCTATTTGGGCCAGGTTGGTCGCAGGCGGTCAAAAGAGATCCTTATGTTTCCAAAGCCACAGCTTTCGCTTTCGGAGGCTTTTTTCCCCTGATTCACTAAGCTCCTTAAGAATATCCGGTTTCCATCAACCTAACTCTTTGACTTTCATTGCAGAATTAACTACGATTTCGTGAATGTACTATAGGGTTCTACTGACTGAAAAACTGGCCCAAAATGTTTGCTGGGAAAAGTTAAAATGTATTTGACTTCGAAAATGTTTTTCAATATATACGTACATACATACATAGTTGCAGCCGTGGGTTCGATTTACTAATATAAATAAAAATAAATTGCTAATAAAAATAGATTTAAAAATTTCGTTCGGAAAGACAAAATTCGAATGCTAAATTTTTTATTAGATTATAAACGTAC